CTCTCTCTCTCTCTCTCTCTCTCTCTCTCTCTCTCTCTCTCTCTCTCTCCTCTCGCTGTCTCTCTCTCTCCAGCAAGTATTGAACATTTCTGTCTCTCTAAACTTTGTTTACAGGCTGAAAATCAATGTCCGTGACTTGATTGCCTTTGGGCTGCGTATTTCGCTCCAGGGGTGAATTGATTAAGTAATAATGACCCTGAGGAGGGATGATCATTAAGCCGAGCAGGGTTTTGTTTACTGGTGGCTGCTGCAGGTTGTTTTGGACACCACGTCGACATTGAACCTGCAGCTCTGGAACTGGACGATGGATAGGACTCTTGGTTGCACATTTGTGTAAAAATAACAACAATGGTTTAAAAAGTAACAATGTTGGATAGTTGAGGCATGCTAGAAAGTGTATCTTTTATTAAATGCTTAATGTAACAGACACTGGGACAATACCGAGATAGTGTTTTTGTAAGGCAAATATTTACCTGCTAGGACATGTTCAGAAGGAGATGCACTTACTTCAGTATTCAGATGACTTTTATAACTCCACCCAGTACAAACTCTCCAGCTCCATGTGTGTATATTTATAATTCTTTTTTTTTTTTTTGAGACAGCTGCTGGGTAGCACCATGGAAGTGATTTGAAATGCTTTAGTGTTCCAGCAATGGATCAGCTTTGGCAATTAAGAGAGAAAGCCCAGAAAAAGGTAATGGAAGTAGGGGGAGATGTGTCTAATGGGCTTTTATCTGTGGAAACCGAATCCAGACTGGTGGAGAGAGAAAGAAAGAGAGAGAGAGAGAGAAAGAGAGAGAGAGAGGAAATGGAGCTCCCCCCCCCCCCCACCCACCCCACACACACATCCCATCCCGAGGCAGCTGACACTGTATTTGGTCTTGTCCATCGTCTGGATGTAAATCCACCAGTGGCTATCTGTGCTGTCATTGAGTAAATGTAATAGAGCTGGCCATGAATGAATACCAGGTGCTCTTAAGAGGCTGGACAGGGTCGTGTTTACATGGATGGTCCACCTCTACGTTTTGGCTTAGATGATAAATGTGAGAATATCTAACAATGCTCCTCCGGGGCACCCAAAGCAGATTATTTTTAAGAGCTTATATTGCAAGCCTGAGGTAAAAATCTGTGTGTTTGTAGCTACTGCTGTCATAATCTGAATCCTGGTAGGGCTCTAACTTTTCAAAATAGCGGTATTTTTGAATATTCAATTTCTATGTTTGAATGGAATGTACCCTCTATTAAAATGTATTTATTCATTCTGTGAAGTAGCTGATTGGACTTTCTTCAAAATATGTAACAATACTTTGACAAGACATCTAAAAAAAATGTTGAAAGTGTTGCATCTTCTTGAAGCATGCTAATTCTCTACCCCATTATAATAATGGCATGTTGGTCCATCACAGCTATCAGGTTATTGTCACCATGAAGATCAGTTCTGACTATTTGTGATAGTTCCATTAGAAAAACGCAGGGCGTAAACAATGTGCCAGAAGACTCTTCAAATGTTCAGCTTTTATCTTCAGGGAAAAGTTGAAGCAGGGAAATGAAATTTGATTAGAATGAAAAACATTTGCCTCTTTCATGTGTAACTATTTTTGTTTGTTTTTCCGCTTTTAGCACGGGAAAAGATAAAACCAGGATGGTAACGCACTGTTCGTAACCAGCTCCAGTTCGTCAAAGGCCGCTGTAAGCTCACCCTCTTCTCCTGAACATTGACAACCGTTCTTCAGCCATGGCTAACATAAGCAATGCACTTTGCATTGAAAACATACAGAATGCAGATGTGTCTCTCTTACAAAAGGATACTCTTCAGGACGGTGGATTAAGCCAGCTTTTGGATTATAACGCAGAAATGGAAAGGTACAGGTCTTTTGCAAACTTTTATAAAACCAATGGGGCATTTCCACAGAAGATTGCCCGCATCACAACACCTATTTTTCCCAGTGCTAGAATTGGCATGTCCCCTTGGAACTGCGATAACGCCATGCTCTGGGGAAGGAAATCAGCGGCAATAAACCCTAATAGGACCAGCATGCATAGAAATGACTCCCAGAGGCCGGGGAAGCCTGGCGTGCTGCCAGAGACGCTGCAAATGGCAAATAATAATTTCCTCTCTACCTTATCCCCCGAACACTGCAGACCTTTAGCAGGAGAATGCATGAACAAGCTGAAATGCGGCGCTGCTGAAGCAGAGATAATGAATCTCCAAGAACGCGTTGGAACTTTTTCCGCTATCCCGGCTTTAGGGGGCATCTCATTACCTCCCGGGGTCATCGTCATGACAGCCCTTCACTCCCCCGCAGCCTCAGCAGCCGTTACAGACAGTGCGTTTCAAATTGCCAATCTGGCAGACTGCCCACAGAATAATTCCTCGGTATCCAGTGGAAACCCAGCGAAGAAGAAAAGGAAAAGGTGTGGGGTCTGTGCACCCTGCAGGCGGCTAATCAACTGTGGTGTCTGCAGCAGTTGTCGGAACCGCAAAACGGGCCACCAGATCTGCAAATTTAGGAAATGCGAGGAGCTGAAGAAGAAGCCAGGCTCGTCGCTGGAGGTGAGAACCGGGGCTCTGCTTCCCCTTCTTTTGTTATTATCCCCTTGCACTCCAAAGCATTAACCTTTTCATCCAGTCACGTTCTAAGCCCTTGAAAATTGTTTCCATGCCCACCCATGCCTGAACATCCCCCCGGCTTCTCAAATCTGCCTACCCGCCTAGCCTAATTGGCAGTAATTAGGGGTGTTTGTGTGGAGCGCAAGCTGAGCTTGGCTCAGACACCCCTAATTGCTGCCAGTCAGGCTGGGCTGGAACGCATCCGAACAACCCCGAGCTTGGCTCAGCTCCAAGCAGGGCTGGGAAATGGTTTTCAGCAGAGAGCCATCCCTCTCTACACCCGGTCATTTTAACCAATTATGGAAACCGTCTCTGGATGGGGAGAATCAATATCCCACAAAGCCTCAGCCTCCGACCACCAAGAGATGGTGAGAGTAATGGCAGGGCTGCTGATGGCATTTCTCAAAACATACCCAAGTTTTGTGTGAGGGAGGGGAGTGAAACACCCACAACGATTCTCTCCCACTGATCTTGTATGAATTGATTGTGCATATACAGTAGGGTTGAAAGGAAATCATTTTATATTATATTTTGTCATTATGGCCAATCAGGGATTAATATGGGGTATGATACATATCAAGAAGGGTGCAGAGTCTGAAAAAAAACATTGTCTGAAAAACACATTAAGCACTGGGATAATTGACAAGTAACAGTAGGCTTCATTAGGACACAATCGGAGGGCGGTTTGGTTTTTAAAGGTTGGTTTTAATAGATTTATTTAGCAGCTGACATTTCGTTGTCAAAGGCAAAGGCAGAGTATGAATGTTAAGTTTCAAATGTGGTTCTCTTTACCCTGAGTGTCTGAACTTGCTCACTGACTTAACATGAGCTTGTATGGATGAGTCGGCAACAAATGTAACCTGAGGGCCTGATGATTTGCTCATTAATTAAGTGATTACATAGAGAGGAAAAAGAGGTTAATCATAAAATATTACCTAATCTACTCATGGGAAACACATGATGTATGGATTCCTTTGTTCATTATGAATTTGTGCCATCAGATTGTCTGATTCTTGTTTGAATCCATGAGAGATTTTTTTCTAGGTGTTCATTTTTGCAGATACGTCTTTCAAGTTCATTTAGGTGTGTTTTTTCGAATGTTTTCTAATGTTGATATCACCTGTGCCTGCTTTGTAGTGATCAGGAAATAATGGAAGGATTCAAAGTAGATTGAGATTGTACCTGAATGCAAATGTTCTTGACCCAGTACTGCTGTGACATAACATATTATTATTTATTCATATGATTCTCATAATTTATGTCTCATGTACTCTACAATCTAGTGCTACATGGAGGACTTCTGTCAATTCAATCCCAGTCTGACAGCATGGAATCCAGTGCTAATATCCCTGATTAAAATCTTAATAACTTTTAATGATTTTGACAGGAGTGCCAAGAATCAAAAGCTTTTCCACTTTGCAACTGAAACAGAAACTGAGGAACTAAATTAAGTCTGATTGTTACCTCCATAATCCAAAAACAGTGGGTCAGTCATATAAACACACTTTGTGCAGAAACGCATTGCTCATCTAGATTTATTCCATTTGGTACATAGTGTCATACTCAATTTAGTAATTTAGTTAAAATTGCGTGTTGGACCAAGATGATACACAGTATATGTGAGCCTTTTCATTGAGTGTGGAAAACTGTGACGCTTCTTATGGGGAAACCAGCATTTCAGAGGTTAAATAAAGCGGTCACCGATGGGTTACAGGTCGGACGTGTAAAGCATAGAAGTGGCAATCGGAAGCTTGTTTAATGTCGACTCCGTATATCGTGTACTAACAGGTGTCCCCAAACAGGTGTTGAGGAAGCTGGCCTCACATTCATAATGCATGGGTAGACTCACTTTTGAAAACATCCATTTAAAAAGACGGTTAGAATTACCAAGGGTGTGAAAACCCCTCAAACAAATCCATACTTGCAGGTAAAAGCTCCTTCACTGACTTCAGTAATTCATATTATGGACTTCTCCAGCAAGTAATTGTTATTTTTGACTCTGCATCTGTAATTACAGGCACACCCTCTGCTGCAGAAATGGCTTTTGGGTTTAAAGGCATCTTAGAGGTGTGATGTTGCACTCTTGCTTCAACAAACCTTTATACCTATATTAACAGGGAGTGCTTATTTTTCACCTTGTTGGTGGTGCTAATGGTCGCTCACAAGCCGAGTGGCATTTGAAGTGTGAGGTGTAAGGTGCTTAAGTAAGTTTAGAAGGAGAATTTACAGCCCATGCGTGCAAATTCACACGTGAACGGCAACTTGTATGCACACTCTCTCACACACAAGCATGTACACAAACACACTCTTACCACATACTCGCGAACAAACACAAACACACACACACACACACACACACACACACACACACACCAAACATGAGCCGAGTGTACCTTTTGCCTTGGAAGAGACGATAAGCTACTGGCAGCCAGTTAGATTTGGCTGTCAGTGTTTTCCACATGGGAATCACCCTGAACTAATTATATCTTAAGCAGCGGTGGAAAATGCAAATCAGAATTTTACTCACACCCCTGAAATCGGAGAGCCAATTTAATCTAATACCCCCTTTAATTTAGCGCGCTAATGCAAGGCCCTAGAGAATTGCCCTGTGTCACTGCTGTGCTGTTCTGCAGCAGATTCTGCTCTCTCTTTCTCTCTCTCTCTCCGTCTCTGTCTCCGTGCTGCTCTCAGGCTCCAGGATGGATTAGTCTGGCAGAGGAATCTCATCTAACCTAACATTTCCCGAGCAGTTACCTTTGCGTAGCTTGAGCTCCTATGGCTCAAAGGTCCTTCATTAACTTTCAAATGCAATAATACTCATATGTGGGTAAGCTGAGTCTTCACCTCTGTTTACCTCACCTGTTTACCTCAACTTTACTGATTTCTGCAGAGAGATTCGTGAAAAAAGGCTGTAGCCTTTCCCTAATTTCTGTAAATGCAAAAGTTATGATTGCCAGCTTGTGTTGCTCAATAAGATTAACTTTGTGGCACTAAAATTCACATGGCGGATATGTGTTGTTCATGTGTTCTAACCTTTTTGGCTTGAGGCCTTTTAAAATGACGCGGTGTCTAGTTCTGACCCCTCATCATAGTCATGGCCTTGGTGTGGACATGACCCAAACAGTGATTTTCCTTCTCAGGTTGTTTCATTTGAAGGATAAGGGTTGTGTTCCCGAAGAGGTGAAAGAAAAAAGTCCGAAAAATTGAGCATCATTTTGTGTTAATTATCCTGTGATTCTTCAGATTCATCTTGGGACACCTTAGGGTCTTCTAAGGTACTTGGGATTCAATATCCAACAAGTGGCTCAATGGTAAGACTTTAAAATAATCTAATAATCTTTAAAAGCAAAACACGTTCTCACTTTAGCTTCACGGTGAGGTTAACGATGGCTTTTTAGGTCAAAGGTAATGAAACAAGTTTATTCTAATTTCGGCAGGTTATATTCCAAATCAGTTTGGTTTCAGTTTATCTGGGAATTATTTCATATGAGTTATTACGTGGAGGCTTCCTTTCATTAATAGTTTTAAGTATGAATTATATACATCTCACATGTATAACAAGTATTCCTAAGTTTATATTATTCTCTAACCAGAAATGTGAAGAAATATACACAAACAGTTCCTAGAGGTTATAATTTACTAGTAATATCACAGCGAATGTGATTTAGTTATTAATAGAGACAAGTAGAGCTCTAGTGTTGATGTGGATGTTCTAACATAAAACAATACATGAAATAGAGTCATAATGACTTTAATTAATTGCTAAATTAGGCATCATACATTTATTAAAGAGCTTTTAGAAGATGAGTTCAGTACAATATTTGTCGAAAGTCATATAAGTTTGTGTCTAGTTTTTCACTGTGTTATGCAGTCAGACATTTCATTTAATAAATATGACAGTGAAATCTTACAGGACACTTTCAAACACATCCAACCAGACTTTGAAAACATTTGAAACATGTGGATTTGAGGTGTACACTCTGCATGTGTAATTCCTGTTTGTTCCAAGGTTTTGCTTGTGAATGACTCAATAATGCAGACTTTCCTGTAGGAGTATGCCTACAGATGTCTAAAACCACATCATCCATAACTATACAGTTTGATAGAAACATGATCGTAAGACTCCAGGAGCTTGCTGGGTTGTTGACTATATTGACAGGAACACTTTGAACTAAACAGCACCTCTGTTTTTGACGTTCATATTACTAAAAAAACAAGTCAAAATCCTTGAAATAAAGACATTCAAAGAGGCTTCAGTTTGATTAGTATCATGAAACGGTGCAGAAAAAGCAGGAAAACGGCAAAACAAAAATCTAATTGAACAGATTCCTCCTTTCAATAAACAAATGTCAAAGGCCAGCGTCAAGTCTTGTGCAAGAAAACAGCATCCTAGTGTAAGGGGATGTTCTTTCTCTCTCTCGCTCTCTCTGCCTCTGCTCTTTGTGCAGCGTTGATATGACTACATGAAATGGGTGAGATGAAAAGGTGGCACGGCTGCCTAGAAACCTTTGCTATTGTGATAAAAGACACGGCCCAAAATGGTATGAAGCAGGACCTTGAGGAAAATAGCTTGGATTCAGACTTAATGAGAGCACGGGCGCCAAATAAGCAATGGCAGCCAGGTCTAATTTGTTTTAGGTGTGCTCGGAATAGATAAGGACAAATCTGTGGCCTTCACCCCCTCCCCCAACCTTTGCCTCCCTGGAGATAACACTGAGTGCTGCCAGCCAATCTCTGTGGGCAAAGGAGAGGGGGTAAAGAAATAATAATAAAATATAAAAAAACGAAGAAAGAAAAGCCTGAGGGACAGACAGTCTTAAGATCTGCAGATCTCCAACTTACTGGATTTATTCAAGCTTTAAAACTGCAGATTAATTTGGTCGCAGAGGTCTGGGGGAGTGTGGAAAAAAGAAAAGAAAAATGAGGCCGTACGCCGCCGCGCATCTCAACCTAAAGGGCAACCTTAAGCTCCTGTCAAGACAATAGGATTTTGCCATCTGAACCACGATGCAGACCGCTTAATTATACACATCTTCCCTGCAAGCTACCCTCAGCTGCTTAAGAGCAGGGGCCCCCTTATTCATTGTCATGCCCTTTTTCCCCTAGATTGGTCGTGCCGTGTGGATTTTCTGTCAGCTTCCATTTGCGCCGAGTAGCTGTCCTCCTCAGGCCGTTGTTGCGCTTGGAGAGGCACAACCGCACGGCACCGTTAAAGAATTCATCGTTTTCGCCACTGCCACCAATTAAGGCCAAAGCGTAATCGGAGGCGTCTGGACGATGGCCTTACATTATGTGGTCTGTCGCCTCCTCTGCCCCCGTTTGATTTAACATCCCTGGTTCAGTGGGGAAAGAAAACTCATTGCCATTGTCTTTATTATAGTGCGAGGAGAGAGAGAGAGAGAGAGAGAGAGAGAAAGACATGAGGGTGGAAAGCAGCCTAGCAGAGGACGGACAGCGTGAAAGAGCAGGTGCGGGAGGACGTTAATGTGTGGCACTTTAAATTTTAAACAGATGAGAATCAATTATTGATGGTGACTGGCTGAGAAGTTAAAAGGTATCTCGTCATTACTGAGAGCCTATATGAAAAAGTGTGAGAGAAAATCGTGGGGTTTCAATGAGCGCAGAGTATTGCAACGAGTTGTTTTTGTTCTCCACAAAAATAATGTGATCCTGACTTATTTAAAATGTCTGCCCATGTTGTGTGTTTTGGCTCTAATGCAACAATTTGTACAAAGCCCTTTCCATTAAATTGTATTGCCCTAATTGAGTGAAATGCAACAAAGCTAGTGGCAAAATGAGTGACTGAACTGAAAACGTGAAGAGCCAAATCAGAAAAGTTGTTCTTGAACATGGTATTCCCCATTTTCAATCAGCTTTTACCAAATTTCTCCAATAGGCATGTTGCTTCTTCCTATGAGGCTCGGTAATAAACCCTATTAGGCATTAACTATATTATTACATTGTCCTTAAACACAGGACAATACAGAATAAACTACACAGGAAAATAATGCATGATCCTGATGATGGCCAGTATGATGCTCTTCAATACAGACAATATAACTGTCGCAATTCCTTTCAATTGTGGGCTGAGTTTGGTAAACCACTCTCATTTGTGGACCAAAAGTAATAGCTCCAACACTTTGGCTACCTGCTAAGACAAGAAGAATATCATAAAATAGTAAAATCATATGAATTGGCTATTTCAAAGTGACTAAAAAAAAAGTGAAATCCAGGCTAGGAAATGTCAAGATATCTGAATGTGAAAGCTCGCCATTTAAACAATGGAGCGTATTTAATTGATGAAGTATTGCTGTGGCAGAAACATTTCTGTTCAAAACTCCCAGTGTAAAAACATCACGTGACCTTATTTCAACAGAATAAATCTGTCCCTTGACTTTGTTTTCGCTGCGCTGCTATAAGCAAGGTGCTCCAATAGTAGCAGTGGTAGTTGTCCAGTTTGACGTATGGGAGCGGACTATAACAGCCCAGTATCATGGCTTTAGTCTACGGACCAATCAAGAGAGCTACGGTGGTCAACCACAGTACTGCATGAAACAAAAATAAACGTTATTAATATTTCCCCATATACCGTCAATATATATGACCTCTCGCTAAAACAGTTGACAGGAAAAACAAAACGGAAGCAAAAAATACCATCTTTCATTCATGCTTTAAATTCATACTCTTCCCATTCAGTTCTGGTTTAACCATTCAAACCGGACTTTTGGTCATGGGTAAATACGATACCTATAGTTTACTGTCGTACAAGACTAAGATTTATAATTTCA